GAAACATTTCAACTGTATTCCACCACTTGACCCGGGCTAAGAGTGGTTGACCCCCAAACAGCTGTCAGCGCCGGTCAGTACGGACCGAAGCGCATCTGAAGTTCAGGGGTTAAGACTCAATGAAGCACTACGCCGCGGAAAACGTCATCGGGCAATCAGAGGGTCCACCTACGGAAAAAAACACCCCCACCATTCCCTTATCTGAATAATGCTAAAGGCCCATCTCAGCAGATAAGATAATTCATAATGCAGGACTGAAACATCTGCTGTGTGCGTGGAGGATGTGAATACATCTGTGGCGTGGGCCGTCTCGTCGTGGGAAGTGATCCTCTAACGCTGCCTTATTTATTTTAACTTCACATTCTGAATTCAAAACGACAAAATTCTAAACCTACCACTAATTTTCCGGATTGGATTGTTGTTGATAACAACTCCAGCTTTGCTGTACTGCCAGTGGCTTTTACCGCAATGCAAATGTGCCTCCAAGAAAGTCTGATAGCGATGGGTTGTTATTAAAAAAACAGTCAGACACCGAACATGTCAACTGCACCCACTGGTGAATCATCAGAGCAACATTTAGCATTTGCATAGATCTCCTGCGAGCATTGTTTTCTAACACCTCCCCCCCCCCTCCCCTCCCCCATCATTGAATTCAGCTTCAAAACCTGTGAATCCAGCGCTCGCTAAGCCCTTACACTGATCGCTGATGCGGTGGGCGTGCTGTCAATATTGGCCCATTCGCCGCGAGTGAGCAAATCTCCCCTTGACATGGCCAGCCATGCGAGTAATAGCTAGGATTAAGACAGGAAAAAGGTACACACATGAATATACAGAACTCAGCGTGGATTCGAGGCGGCAGCTGGGTGGGGGCGAAAGGGTGAGGGGGGGGGGGAATTACCAAGGCCTCGGATGTGCGGCGAGCATAGAAAACGAGATCGACTGGGAGCTCGGACATGAAAAGACTCATTCACCGCCGGCGACCCCGATGACGAATGGCGCATTCACATTCGAGGCCATTAAGGATCTATCAAGGTAATTTGGGCTGTCGGGCAGTTTCTTGTGGACAAAAGGAAGAGAATCCTGCAGCTTGATTCGCTGCTTCTATCACAGAGGGAGCGCGCACCTGGATTCCTGAACGAGGTCAGCTGCCGCGGCTCCCTCGTGGGAAAGGAACGTGAATGGTGGTGGCTGCGTTTGGCTCATCCCGCCTCAGCGTCCTCCGTGTGCCACGGACTAAAGAATTCGCTCGCTAATTGGTCACCTGACAGCGGGGGGGGGGGGGGGGGCATTGTCCTTTGGGCATCTTACAGTGGCCTTCAGGGGGAGGCCGAGGCCCAGCCGGAGAGACGCGACCAAACGGGACGGGAACACACTTCCAGCCGACAGCTGACGCTAACAGGCGGGAGGGGGGGGGGGGTAGCGGGTGAGCGGGTCAAGCTGACGGCGACATGGCCCTGTTTGCTCCACCTTTTAGCCTGCTCCTCCCCCCCCCCCCGCCCGCTCGCGGGAGGGCGTTGGCAAACGGGCATTTCCGTCTCCCGCTCATGGTCGCCTAATTGGCACTTAACAGCCGCCCCTCGTGGCCTCCTCACCGCCGGCGTTTCCGCTCCTTCCTCCCCGCGCGTAGGAAGCGGCGGCGGTGGCGGCGCATCAGACATCAGCCAGCTGAGAGGGCGCTTTCCCCACCGCACTCTATACCCACCCCCTCCCCCCCCCACACACACACTCCCGTTCTTCCATTCCCTTTCCTCTTAGCAGCTATCTCGCGCTGGAAGCAGTTTGCACCACCAGACAGCCCCGAGCGCTCATTATCGCTTTTCTCAGTCGAGAGCCTGTCGCTCTGAAACCTCCCTCACTCCACCCCACACTGCCCCTATGAGTTCTTCCCCCGAGATAGAGCAGTGCATGAGGAAGACGTCAGGATATTGGAGATTTTCTGCATCCGGGCTCCGAGCCAAAGGAGACGGTGCACACGGCAGACATATGGCCACATTTTCTAAATCTTATCTTTTTTTAACCGAGCCCATCAATCACCGGCAAATTCCCTTTTCTGTGTCGGAGGCCGGGCGAGAGGCTCGCTCCGGGACAGATGTTGAGGGAGCATTTGTACATCCTTATTGCCTCCAAACAAAAAGGTTATCACAACATTATTGTGAACCGGAGGAAACTGCCCCGTATTTGTGCAAATGTTGTGTTCACACACATCAGAGCATGCGGATGTCACATTAGGCCAAATGAGACAAAATGAAGGAAAGCACAGCCGCGACACTTAGGAGACTAATGCGTGGAGGCGAGGCGGGCAGCGCGCTGCTGCAAACATCAGGTGCTGTTTTCAATGCAAATGGACTGTTTTTTGGGGGGTGCTTGATTATATTGAGCTCGAGTACACTGCATGTTCTCTCAAAACAAGTGAGACTACTTGGGAAACCTGTATATCCATTTTGCAGCTCTAACGAAAGGACACTGTATTGTTTTTACAGCACAAATGCCTAAAATGCCCCTTCAGGCCGAGCAGCAGTTTGGAAATAGTCACAAAAAATGTAACATTTTTAGTACAAAACGCCTGAGTGAAGTTTTAACCCTGCCAATGTCAGCTAACCATATTAGCATTCCCACATGGGGGGAAGGCTGTGAGTTGGAATAGAAATGGGCCGGTTCAGTAAGCAGCGGGAGTAGAGGTCCCATTCGTCTTGTCCTGTTTAAATACACTGGTTAACTCCTGCCAACAGGGAAGCCATTCAGCAAAAGGCCAAGGGCATCTGTCATGTGTAGAGCACATTGGGATTGTCCCCTTCCACCTCCCTCAGTCCCCCTCTCTTCTTCCTCATCACTTGCCCTCTCTTTGTTTATCTTTCGCTTCTCACTCTCCCTCTTTCCTCTCCTCCTTCCCCCCTGCCTCTCCCTCACTACCTCTCCGCCTCCTTTGATGAGAGGAGTGAATATGCAGGGGACTGACATGATTAGCAGCGTCATATCCCCATGATGGATGGCGCCTGCTCTATTATTAATATAGTAAAAGCACCAACTGCCAGGTAAGAGCAATGTCAGCATCCACAATATAACCACGGGTGCCCGCGGATAATGGTGAGCACTTATTTTTTATCTATGATATGCATAGGCTTTCGGGCCGAGGAAGAGGAGGAGGAGGAGGAGGAGGAGGAGCAAAAGCAGACCCAATGACGAGGTTCTAAGTTTTGCTCGTTCTCTGCGATGGTCACCACAAAAAAAATTGTAACTTTAAAGTTGGAAATAACAGTGTCTGTTCAATGAAAACAGAAACATAATCGGTGAAATGTGCATGTCATTGTACAATTTCATTATATTGTTTTATATCCAGGGAGAAGACATAGAAACTTAGTATAAGGACTGGAGCTCAAAATGAGACGTTTCTCTGTCAGTTTTTTGTGCAGTACGCAGCGTTGCAGCAGTGCGTTTCCATGGAGACAGCATGTTTGCACACAACATTAATGAACTATAATGTGCAAAACTGGCAGTGTGCAAAACTCCAACTTTGACCGGTCCGGTCTGACTCTTGAAAAGCATTACTTGTCAGTTTTAGAACCCCCAATATAAGTCCTGCGTTTGTTGTATTCGTACGTTTGTCTGTCCATCTTTTTGAGGCTTTGATTAGAAACTTCTTGATATGGCAAAAAAAAACATGATACGTTTTGCTGGATGTGCAATTAATAATGCAGTTCTTTCATATTGGAACGTAATTTAGAGGAGACCAGGCCAAGGAGCTAAACAATGCATAAAAACAACAGGATTTGTCCGTTAAATATTTTACGCTTCAGTCAGCCGTGTGGAGATCGGCTCAACAGGACGCAGCCGGGATGGACTGCTGACGTCAGCACGCATGTCATCCGTCATATCTTTCTGGGATCCGTCCATCCTTGCTGGAAGCAGTAGATTGATGACGGAGGGCGTCTGAAAGGGAGGAACGGATTCACACTGCGAGAAACAACAAAAGGGGACGGAAAAGAAAAAACTGAAAAAAAGGGGAGAGGACTCAGGAGCAAGAAGCAGGAGAAGGAAAGACAGACGGACAGAGTGCGCTGTGTCAAATGGATAAACGCAGCGGGGGCTTCGGCGTCTGTCTGACGCAAGCGCTTTCCCCCCAAAAAGGCCACGTGTAACTCGTGTAGCCGGGGCCCTCGGCCAGCCTTTGCCTGCACCTTAATGAGATTACAGACCTCTATTGCACTGTGTGTGTGTGTGTGTGTGTGAGAGAGGGAGAAAGAATACTATTAAGCCAGCGTGGAAGTGTACAATTCCGACGGCTTACACGGGGCGAGGGAATAAGCGGCATTACTTACAACACCAAACAAGACATATCGAGGAAGATTTGAAGACTACTGATCTATCATACAACACACACACACACAGGGTGGACTTGTGTTGTGTCAGCCCACAAGCTGCCTGATAGAAGTGTCTTCAGTGAACGACTTGGGAGGAAGTCTGTGTTGTGTTACCGTGACATTAGAAACAGAGTAAACACACTCAATCTTTGTTATTCATAGTTCAAACCAATAATAAAGTCGACAGGAACACTGCGACCGCATTATGAAGATAAATATCATTAGGTTTAAACTCATTAAGGAAGCTTAGTCTTTATCCCATCCTGCATCTCATTATGATTTCCTATTTAAACCGAGGGAAAGTAGAGCAGCCTGTTAACACTGTTTCCAGCTCCTGTTTGTGAGCACATGATGTTTACACCAGCGCTTCTCCTCTCAGACTACCTTTTCAGACCTTCTTCCAAATCTAATATACCCATCCATAAATAGCTCACCTATCGAGCCCATATTTGGTTTGAGTGACGATGCTCCGGAGCCAATCCCGCCCGCTGAATCCGTCTAACCCCGCCCCTCTCAGCTGCGCCGCGGCTCCGCGGACTCCTCGACCGCCCATTCGCCTTAAATGGAATACTGGAGGAGTTGATTGACGAACCAAACAACTCCCCTTCGTTTACAAGCCCCTCCCCTCCTTTGGCTCCCTATCAGTGTCTAGTTTGGCAACACGGATACGCATGGAGCCTCCATCACCCCCTGTCTCTTTTACGCACCGAGTCCGATAATGCGCGCAGGTACAGTGGCCCTAACCGCCGACACATTGAGCAATTAATCTCCTCCTATGGACTAATATGAAAGAAGTGGATGCAGGAGTCTGACACAGCCAAGGCAGGAGGCATATTTCTTGTGCATCGTTCTTGTTTTCCACCATCGAGCGTCAGCATGGATGTCTTAGCGAACCACAGTATCTTTCAGGAACTCCAGCTGGTGCACGACACCGGCTACTTCTCCGCCATGCCATCGCTGGAGGAAAACTGGCAGCAGGTACGTCTCAACTTGCGTCCTCATCGCAGAGCTTGGAGCGCGCAGTGCGCTCGCCGGTGGGCTCACGCGCGCTCGAGACACCGGCGTCAACTTTCCGCCCTCCACAAACCCCACAACCACCACCAACCAACCACCTCCTCCTCCCAAAAAAAGAGAGAAGAAAGCAGCGTGGAATGTGTGCAGTTCAGATGCAATGCTCTCTATCACTCACACAGCTGACAATTTTCCCTGAGATGGCAAAGTGGATAAGATGCGAACGCACTCCGGCGCGTAATAAAGCTGTCAGATGCGATTTGGGGAAATTGAAGATTCGAATCCCATAACAGGGAGCGAATCGGTCGTGAATAATACATCTGCATCCCTCAGATTACTGAGTTGTGCACCCCCCCCCCCCCCCCACTTCTCGGATAGAAGTCCCATCACGTATCTATAATAGATACCCTAACATGTCTGGCTTTGTTCCCTCTTTAAATGCAGTGGCGAAAAAAAATGTGCTCAGACAGCGCAGGAAAAGAATAACAGACATCTGCAGGTTGCACATTTTGGACCCCCTCACTCCTCCATCCAAGTACAGAGGATGCATGTGGAGAGAGAAGCACGAGGCTGCACGCGGCCACATGGTGATGGTTGCGTGGGGAGACGCACCACTACTCCACAGCACCATCACTGGTCCTAGCGCGTCAAATCACACGTCGCTGTTGATGTTGATGTCAGGCCAGATGTGTTCGTGTCACCGGTGTGTGTTATATCTGTCCTGTTACTGATTTCCTGGTGTATACTTTTAAACAGCCGAAATGCCTTTTTCATCTCACTTTTTTTTTCACACTCAATTTAGTTGCAGTTTTCATGCCTGTTGTGCGCCGTTTTTTTATTATTTTTTTTTTTTACCAAAACAACCTTTCATTATCCATAAATTAGTGGGAACAAGGGCCGCGCACAGGTCGGGCCACCTGCATTGCTGATGCAGCCTGTGGTGACGCTTTCCGTGCTGCACTTGACCGACCGAGCAAGAAGAAAAAAATCATTGCCATGGACATTTGATGCCGTTATTGTTCATGCAATAAGAGCTTGAGCTTTTCCCCACTTCATTGCTCCATGCACGAGGCGGGGGGAGGGAGGGAAGAGGAGGAGGAGGAGGGAGCGAGAGAGAGAGGGAGAAACCGGTGCGTGACCGCGGATCCATTCGTTGTGGCCAAGCAGTCTAATTGGCCTCCTACTGTTACCCACCGACGCAGCTTTTCATAACAAGTCTCCAACTCCCGGGCTCCACTGTCAGAGGATTTTTAAATTGCATGGGCCTGCGCGTGCCATATGCAGCGCATGTCTCTCCCCCATGTTTCTCACCCACGGCCATGCATATCAAAATCGATACCTAATGCAAATGGAAGAGAGACAGCTGCGTGTGCAGGCAAAAGGCTGGAAGAGCTCTTATGGAGCATGGAAATGCCTCTCAGTGGGATATCTGCTGCTGATTCTGCCCGAGACAACGTCCATTTTGGAATTGTAGGTCATCAAGTTTAACCGTCTCTGAAATAGAGAATATACTTTCATTTTTATAACCAAGCTAATATCTGCTCTCGTTCAGCGTTTATTTTGCTGAGAAAACAAAATGCTTTCATCGAACCGGGCTTCGGCCTACGGGACGAGCTGATTTGTACTTCAAATACTGAATGTCAGATGCTTCTCTGATCACATCTATAGATCTGCGTCACCTGCGAGGGAAGCTGACACACTTCTTGCACCTTTCGCCTCGCTTTCTGCTCAATCAGTTCAGACTGACTGATTTTATTGCATTTATAGTCAGAGTCATGCTTTTTTGTTTTGTTTTACCATCCGGTTGATTGAAAAATGGGAGCAGAATTAAGAAAAGCGCTATAAGAAGGAGCCAAATGTATCAAGAAAGTTTTTAAAAAATCCCTTTCCTGCCAATATGCAGACTCAATGCTGTGTACCGTACTCAAGCATCGGACTGAATTTTAAAGTTCTTGTAAAAAAAAAAAAAGATCACAGTGTCCTTGCGAGCACGAGGATGATCATGCCCTGCACTCTGAACCCCCCCCCCCCGCAGAGATGTTCCGAAGATGCCACCGAGCCCTCCTGAATGCAGGAATTACGAGCTGTGGCTCGCCTTAAAAGCTCTGCCTCTGAACGTCTGGCGCTCGGAGCAATCCCCCCTCTGTGTTCCAGGCACAATTTAGAATTCAATGCTTTTATGGGGCGAGATGGTGAGATAGGAGGCCGTTGTAGTCGGACCCTAAATGGCTCCCAGAGATGCCATGGCAAGAATGATGACTGTGTCCCCTGTTGGTGTCTGTGAGGCATGATTCAGGCGCTTATTGGGGGATGGGGAGCAGAAAAGGAGGAAAGTGTTTCGGAGGTCTGCAGATGGTACATTTGAGGCAGCTATTTGTTCCGTTATTTGAACTAAATTGTGCCAAACTGGAACTGTGCTGTCTCGCTTCCAAATCTCAGTACAGTTGGTTGTTCAGAGTTGGAACAATCAGCAGGGCTGAGCTGGATTTGGAACAAGCCCGGCTGGTCATAATTTACTCTTTTTTCTTTTTTTTCTACACGTGGAACCCAGTTTCCCTCACAGCGAAGCGCGCACGTGCGATTTCGTCTCTTTGTGCCGACTTGCTGTCTGTCTTGGCTCCGACTTCCAGTGCGCGTTGTGCTCTCTTGTAATCTGGCATTCGCTGCGATGAAGCCTCGTTGGGCTCCGCTGAGCCAGACAAAAGGCAAAACAGCTGGACCAGATTTCAAGCTGATATGCTGGATTTTTTGCGCCGCCTTCGGGCTCCGCTGATGACGTGTACTCGTCCACAGCACTTGACCCTGACGGATGGGATGTAACAAGACACCACAAATGGCTGTCTGTCATTGACCTCAGTACACACCACCCTCCAACACATATATTATCCCTCAGGGGCTCCACCCACACACACACACCCACACACACGTATACACTATACATACAAGTGAGTGTCTGTGCATCGTGGGCCTTCCATATGTGGATGTGGGCAGATTGCACGGGGCTTCAGCGCTTCTAAATGCGGAGCGATCAGCGGGCCGCTCCGGCTCGACCTGCGCATGCATACCAGCGTGCTCAGATGCACCCACTTAAATGCACCACATGACACGCACAGCAGCAGCAGCAGCGTCTGGGGAGGGGGTTGGGGGGGGTGCGATCGTAGAAGTGGTGGAGGAAGTTGCAGAACACGCACATTCTCTCCGGGGCAGGGTTTTGCATTTCAAAGTCCGGTGGGCTGCACCCCCCCCAACAAACACTATAAAGTCTGAGTGGAATACAATGCAGGGGGGAACAGGATGGAGAAGTTGGGAGTCACACGGATGGAGTTACCACCTCGTCTGGGTCAAAGGGACAGCGTGGCGACTCTCTCTGACGGCCCCCGGAGACCCGGGGAGGGAAAGTCACAACGAGGAGTCAGAGGAAGCCGCAGAAGCGAAAGTATCCGGACGCGTCCCTACGCCAGCGTGCGCGGCCGCAGGTTTGTCTCAGTGCGTTATGTAATCCTCAGTAGGCCACATCTGCTTTCTCACACTCGGCAGGCTTGCTGGGGAGGGCGGCCGAACGGCCCCCGCCTTGCTGTCTCCTTCCTCCTCCCTGGCCTTGTTCCTCTATTCTCCCTTTTCTTCTCCTCATAGAATTAGCACAGTATGGATTTTTGATCTCTGCAGGGCTGTTGTGTAAGCTCAGGACTCGTGCGCCCCCCCCCCACACACTCCATTCTGCGTCTGCCAGGTAACAATGTCCCCGCTGTCACTCTTTGCAGAGCATCGGCGACCAGAACGAACGACTTGAGGCGTCTGAATTAAGCTGAAATAAACCAACCGGTTAAAGCACACGCCTCGTGTCTTCGCCGTGACCTTTCACTCGCTGCTGTTTGGTGTAATTTTATGCAAATGGAAAAATTAAATCAATCCTGTAACAGGCAGAGCTGTGCATTCTCCAAGCAGGAGGAGGAAGGACAAACTGGGACTTAATCTTATTTGTCTCAAAAGAGCTCCTAGTGGTGTCGGCTTTATTAAAATGTCACATAAACTGGAAGCCTGAGATGTGCGATTCCTGAAATCAAGTTTGGACGCCCTCCAAACAACATTTAGTTAATTCCCTTTTAGTTTAACTGACGCTTAAAGACGTGATGGATGTTTGACAGGTGGCATCGGCGTGTCACACACAGCAGGGTCCGGAGTAATAGCTGCCGTTCTTCCTGTTGCACGCAGCTGCACTTCACTTCCAGACGCCCTCAAGGCATTCAGGCGAGTCTGCCTCATGACGCTCACGTGTTGGGTATGAGCGGCACGAGAGAAAGCCTTCGCGCGTCGCGCTGCATCATTTTCACAAAGTGCTTCTTGCAGCCGCAAGGTTATTTTTCCTGGATGCATTGATTCAGGGAGAGGATGCACGTCTTTTGATGAGGAAAGGGGGATGGGGTGGGGGGGGGCTGTAATAAAAGAGTTCTACGAGATCATCTAATTAGTATACACAGACAAATGAGCTGTAACAGCAAAAAAACACAATTTGGCTCCTGAGCGGCATCAGTTATGTTAACAAGACAGTTTCCTCTTTCCTGAAGACCCATTTTTCTTTCCCGGTGTGTCTATGCAGGCTCCTTCTCCTGAGATGGGCGGGGGGATGGAGGGAGGTGTGTGGGGGCGGGGTGCGGGGGCTGCACAGGTGCACGGGCCTGCGTCTCTCCTGCGCGTCTTGCGTAACGGGACACGCCAGCGACCCCCTGACCCAGTAACATCCATTCCCGCCGTCGAGAGCGCTCGCTGCACTCCGCCACCTCTGTCTCATCACTCAGGCGGCTGAGAGGCGATTGCCGGTGATGGGTGCCTTCCACCGCTTTATGGGCGTTGATGAAAAGGTTGGAGGCGCTGATGAAAGAGAGGACGCGGAGGAAGCATTCATTTGTCTGATGCTCTGGCAACTGGTCCGTCAGAGGGAGGAGGGAGGAGGGGAGGCGGGGGGGGGG